CTTTCTTTTGTGTGGGGACTCATCCTCTCCTCCCTCCAACTTCACTTCTCTTCATTAATGGACGGAGATTTGTATGGCTGCCGTCCGAATGACCTTCTGATGGGACGGCCTATACCTACCTCCACTTCCGCCGGAAGCAGGCGCGACGTGGGAACATGGCTGTCTGCTGATGACATGACCATTGTCAGACCGGTCATAAACCGGTCATTCTTGTCCACCACGTGTCAGTTTAACAATCTGCATGTTTGCCCTTCTTCATACAATATCTTGCCTGTAATGGTTATGATGAAGCCTGGTATATATCTGACCGGAACCAACGTGCCATCTCCAGGAGCTAACACGCCGGCTCCGGCTAGGGACGAGTGCTTGGAGGCTCTCGTCCTGACGGGATGGGGCGAGGCGTGCGTCAGACCGCCTGTCGCCACCTAACCCACGATCTGACCGGTCTGAGACCGGTCACAGACCGGATAAACGAGCGTGCCATACTGCGCTACATGTGGCGTGACGCGCTCGTCCAAACCGCAATAAATGCGGTTAGGTGAGCCCCGCTATGCTCACCTACCCCATATACGCGGCGCAAAACCCACAAGGGGTCAGGGCGCCTCGGCCCTCGGGGCCGAGGCGGGAGCGGTCCGACCCCCTCGGGGAGACAAAGAGGAGGGCGAACACATCACCCTCGGGCCCGACGCCCCCCGAGGGTGCCAGGCCACGTGGGCGATTGTGTCTGCCTCAAGCCTCTAGTCATGATACTCCCGGTCCCATGTCACCGACAGAAGCTTACTAAAGACCTAGGAGTATGACTTATACGCTCCACCCGAGGGGTAGTCTACAGACGGTCTAGTACCAGATAAGACTTTGAGTGAAACTTGCTTGCACAAGACTTGCAATTCAAGGCGTAGTCCATTGTTCAAGTTGTGAGTAAGTGTAGCTTGGAGTTCTAGGTGGATGTTCAACCTTAATTGGTCTCCATCGAACCGCTGGTATATAAACAGTACATTGGAAAAGGCAAATCTCAGTGGGATTTTGAGATTTGGTGGGGGATTGTTGGAATTAATGAATGGGCCTTAGCCCACTCGAAGATTAATTCTTTGGAAAATCACAAAAGCCCACCTCATGGGATGGCATGCATGTGGAGTTTAGTACCACCTTGCTTATTCTAGGAGAGGGGGACCTCCTTAAAAGGGAGGATGCCCTCCTAGCTACTTGAAGCATGTGTGGTGGAGAGAAGAGGGGAAACACGCGCGCGCTCGCTCGCCTCGCCTGGCCTGGCAGGGCAGGCGGCGCGCGTGCACGACGTACGCGTCGAATGGTCCGAAAAATTGGCTCCTCACCCTTGCGCAGATGCAGCCTCCTTTTGCAGTTTTGTTTTGCTGCAAATTCGGATTCGTTTTTGTTTTGGAAACGTTCCGAAAAATCCGGTGCGTGCAAACGGCGTGGAGTCCGGATAAGTTACGCGCGACTTATCCGGTTCGATTACGCGCAGTAGAGATCGTGCGGGCGCCCTGATCAAGCGACCCTTCTCTATATAAACCGACCCGCCGTCTTCACGCAATATATGCGAAAATCAATCTAGGGTTTGCCTCCTACTCTGTACTGCGCCGTCGCTCGTAGACTACTCCATCCCGCTCGCCGGCGTGCACCAGCGATCGGGAGAGCAGGTCTCCGGAACCTCTGCCTTTGACGTCCTGCACCGGGAGAAGGCGGCAATAAGGTTTTTGGGAAGCGCTTCGCGCGACTGCTCCCTGTTCGTTCGCGACGGCTCGCCTTCCTCTTCGCTCGCGTGTTTCGTGCCTTCGTAGACACCTGCGAAAAGTTTCGACCAAGCAGCCGGTCTTTTCGTCACCTCGGTACGTGTTCAATATGTTGCGCATATTTGATCTGTTCATGTTATTCTGCGTAGTTTACATGTGTAGATCTAATGATGCGTTCATACTAGTTTTCATCTGTAATGTCATGATTTATTTATGGAATAAATTAAATCATTATATGCCCATAATCTCAACATTAATAAGTCTGTAAAAAGACCGTGGTTCTGTAATGTTTATAATTTTTTTATATAAGATGGACAATCAAACGTTAGACATAGAAATCCATAACCGTGCTTAAAATAGGAGTGAGTTAGTAGTTTTGAATTTGGCGAGATAGTAAATAATATTATTTTGATAGATATGGTAAGGGGACTGCTATTTAGCGAACTAGCGCACACTATTTTTCTTAATTCTTCAAACTTTCGGAATTGCTATTCGTAGCAAGAAAATTAGAGAAGAAAGTTTTGAATTTTCGGCCATCAAATCCGCATTGAGATTTGTGCACACGATGGGAATTAAAAATAGATCAAGAGCGTCGGGGGAGGAGGCTATTGCGCCACCGTTCGTGCGACCACGTCGTGCGCGAACACGTTCTCCAAGCGTTTTCCCTTTCGTAGTGATGTCATAGGTGCTCCTCACGCGATTTTTTTTGTCTACTTTTATGCGTTTCCAGGCCCATAGAAAGAAACTTCTGACCCATAAGGAGAAAACATTTCCACTAATCAATCAAAAACTTCTTACTCCCTCCGTTTCACAATATAAGTTATTTCAGCATTTTTCACATTCATATTGATGTTAATGAATCTAAACATATATATTTATTTAAGATTCATTAACATCAATATGAATGTGGGAAATGCACATTGTGAAACGGAGGAAGTAACTAGTAGGACCTATAACTTTCACAATTTTAAGGGAGTTATCCTTTACTTTCTGTGAGGGGGTAAATAGGGATAATAAATAGGTCGGGAGTTAGTTTTCAACTAGTATGAATAAAACTTTCAAAGGTGATAAAAAGTACTTTTGACATCAAAGATCCGTAACTTTTAAACTTCAGAAAAAAAATAGGGGATTTTTTTTTAAAAAAAAGAAGTCATACATGCGGATGAGATTGTTTGGTGGCAGTTCACCCTGTATGTTGTTGTCCTTGTGAAAAAATGTGCAAGTTTATGCAATAATTTAAGAAAAAAAATTGATCACTGTATATGCACAACTATATGATGTTTTAGCTAAATCATACAAACAATGGGAAAACACTCACAATCCAGGTACAGAAGGTTAATTCTTGCACGAGAAACAACCGTTGTAGAATCCAATACTGAAGTCCACAAATCAATTCATAGAGTAAATGGCATATACCCGATGTGATTATATTTTTTTAACTCAGGATTACGATGCCTACCTTAAAACGAGAAACTAAAGAGTAATGCACATCCAACATATTAAAAAGCTATGACATCTCAATACCACAATGTTCTAATTGGCGAAGCCTTGCTTTGCCCTCTGCGAAAATTCAAGTCAGGAACACACACGTGACAAGATGTAAACTCCTGCAAAAAAAAACATCCAAAAATACTGAAAGAAGACATCCAGTGACCCAGAGACTTTGAAAAAATATTGATTGGCCATGCTGAAGGTGATGACTAGTACATACTTCAAACGAATTGGAAATGCACTGTAAATTTGCATAGCAACAAAAGTCATCAGTTGTCTTTCCTCCTGGCAAATGACTCAATTCTATGGTGGAATTGAAACTTAGTACACACAAAAGTTTATGAGTATAAATTTTCTTTTGAAACTTTATGGTGGAATAGAAACTTAGTACACACAAAAGTTTAGATTGAAAAACTTTCCGTTGTCACAACTTTATTTTAAACCATAACCTTGTATTGAAAAACTTTATATTGAAAATTTTCACAACTTTGAAGTAAACAGACATTCAAATTATAAAACTTTATACTCATAAACTTGGTAAAAAAAACTTTGTGCTCATAAAATTTATAAAAAAAAACTGTGTACTTGTACATAAAATTTGTATATATAAACTTTGTTTACATCAAAGGTTGTGAAGTTTACATCAGTATAACATCCAAATTATAGAACTTTTTGCAGGAAGTACAACTTGCTAACTTTATACATGAATGAACCTTCTTGCTCTGAAACTTCCTACATGACTAAAACTACATTCTCATAAAGTTTTTTTAAAGAGAAAAAATATGCTCATAAAACATCTATAAAACAGTCTAAAATGTACTCGATATTAAATTTTGTATCTTAAATCTTATATAGGAATTTAATTAACCCAAATATAAGAAAAAAGTCCAAATACCCCCCTAACTTTAGATGGAAGTTCGTCTAACTTTAAATCTAGACATCCAACCCCCTAAACTTTGCCGTACCATCCATATTACTCTCCAAAGGTAGTTTTGGATGATGGTTTTACATATTTTAGAAGCTTAAACGAATAGTTTGAATAATTAATATAACATATTTGCATATCATCAGTTATAAGTCATCAATTTATTCTTATACGGTGATATCATACTATTATTATGTTGGTATTTGTTTGGAAGTAAGAGTTAATAAGGAGAAAAAGAAAGATTTAAGTCAAAATTTTAATATATATGTCCAAAGTGAATGACATGTGAGCAAACTCATCCAACTTATATATAAATTAGATACAAACCACTATGCAAAACTATATTAGAGGGTTATATAAACGGTACTGTAAAATTTAGGGGGTTGAATGTCCGGTTTTAAAGTTTAGAGTGCTAGACAGACTTTCATCTAAAGTTTAGGAGTTTATGTGGACTTTTTTCCAAATATAAAGGGTAAAAACCTCCTTAAAACCTCCCCTCACTCGCATTTGAGAGTGCGCCGTTGAAGGAGATGGCAGATAGTCCAAAATCCCGACTCCCCTCGGTCTCTCCCGTCCTCTGTCCACGCAGTGGCCCACCGCCCGCACCAAGAAAACGCCGCATCACCGTGCGCGCCGAGGGGCCGAGCTACGCGGGCGAGCGAGCGCGCATGCCGTGGCGAGCACACGTGGTCGGGCCTATGCTACCGAGGCCGACCGTCGAGCCCGCACCCGCATGACCATCTCGTCCCCTCCTGCTCCCTAAATCCATAATCCCTGATTAGTTTATCCCAATGAGGTTGCATGGTGAAATTACTAATTTACCATCTCTAGCCCTGGCCAGCCAACCCAAACCACCACTACTCTACAACTACAGTGTCCACTGCCCCCGTCACTTCAGTCTCGCTACCTCCGCAGCTTCGCCACGCACTCCCACCCCCAATGCCGGCCGCCGCCCCTCGCGTGGCCTCTGCCGCCTCCGGATCCGCCTCAGGTACGCTCTCCCGCTGCCACCCCGCGAGGCCGCTAGCTCATTCTCCGCTGGATTTTTTTTCCCTCAGTCGGTTCACATTTTCCGGCTCTCTCTCTCTTTCTCTCTCTGCAGCGACGAGGGGCGTGCGGGTGGCGAGGGACAAAAGCGGCGGAGGGAAGCTGGAGGAGCGGACGGCCGTTGCAGTTGCAGTTGCGTGCTTGCTGATTCGAGTCGTTGGCTTTATTAGCTACTGCAATGTGCTGAACTCTGCTGTGTTCTTGAGTGGGCAGGTGAAGGTGGTGGTGGTGGATCCGCAGCGCCTGCGCATGGCGGCCTTCGAGCCCCATCGGTAAGAGGATGCAGCACGATGCCCCCCCCACCCCCCACCCCCCCCCCCCAAAAAAAAAAGCTACTACTACTACTACTAGCACAATGCATTTTTGGTCTACAAGTCTGAATGGGTCAGTTATTAGCTTTCGAGCTATGGCCTTGGGTTGTTCTACAACTGATTGTTTACTTACCAGGAGGCATTTTTTTGTTGCATGGATGGTTGGATCCGCTTTATTCCTTTGACATAGTCACTTTAATTGGAAGATAAAAGTATGTACTGTATGTTGGCTCCAAGCATTGTATTTTGTCTAGGTGATACTCCCTCCTTTTTACAATGTAAGTCATTCTAGCATATATGTCTAGATTCATTAACATCAATATGAATATGGGATAGATATATATGTCTAGATTCATTAATATCAATATGAATGTGGGAAATGCTAGAATGACTTACATTGTAAAACGGAGGAAGTAATGCTTGTATTTTTTTTCTCAAACATTTGCTGTTCTGTTGGTAGTCTTCATGAATAGTGTTTCATATTTCATTTTGTGTAGTACTGTTAGCGAATAAAACTTTGTCATTTCTATCTTTCTATTTAGAAAACGAACTGAATATAACATGATCGGTATGCCTTTTTCAATCAATGGAGTAATGGCTTACTGTGCCATTTGCTCTTTGGACTTAAACAGTATGCTCTCGAAACTTCTTCAAGACATAATTATTTAAGGTTGGGCATGTGTTTCTTTTGGTTAGTAGCTAGGTGCTATGTTTTTGGGTAATGGTGACAAATCGTAAAGTAGAAACTAAAGGTTAATCAGCTGACAATGGTCATCAGTAATTGGAAATTTTCTAACACCCTCCTTTACATGTTTGCCATAATCCATGACAACAACTTTTTGTAATTCACGGCACATTGCCCTTCTTGTCTATCATCTCCTTAAAATCCATTTTTTATTCTAACTTCAGAAAACAGCTGTACCACATTTATGGCATTTTCATTTTCTTCAGTGGAGTGTTTTTTTAATGAGAACTCAGTGAAGTGTTGTTATGAAAACATTCTCAATGCTGTGAATTATGTTCTGAGGCGCAATTGAAGCCAAAACAATAACCTTTCTTGCTGTCCTGTTCTTCATTACCTCCAGCACAAAATATGCCCATTGAATACATATCATACAATCTATACTTGTGTTGTTGACCTTGCAAACCAACAGTGTGTTAGTCCTTATCAGCCATAATGTGACAGAGTGCAGCACATGGCTTCCAGGCTTCAGCTCTTGTACTTCATTGCCATTACAGTGCTCGCTTCGGTGTTCCAACCTTGCACGTCCATTGAGCTCCACCGTGAGCTCTCTGGCTGGTCGAATGGCATTGCTACATGGTATGGCGATCCTAATGGTGCAGGAAGTGAAGGTATGGTAGATACCACAAAAAATAAAATCTGTGAATATACGCACTCTACTCAAAGCGGCTTGTGGTGCGAAAATGTGATGTCTCATGCATAAATTTGTTGTAGGCGGTGCATGTGGGTACCAGTATGCTGTTGACCAGCCACCGTTCTCATCCAGGATTGCTGCTGGTAGCCCCTACATCTATGACTCTGGCAAGGGATGTGGTTCGTGCTACCGGGTGTGTATCCATTGACCATTAGCAGCTGAAGCTATGCTCATTCATGCATGTCTGCCATTTGACATTTGGAAATAACTGATTTATCAGGTGGTGTGTGCTGGTAATGAAGCTTGCTCTGGTATCCCTGTAACCGTTGTCATCACTGACCAGGGGCCTGGTGGCCCATGCTTGGAAGAGCTAGTCGATGGTCAATGCATGAATGAAGCAGCTCACTTTGACATGAGCGGGACAGCATTCGGTGCCATGGCGAGGCCTGGCCAGGCTGATCAACTCCGTGGTGCTGGCCTCCTCCAAATTCAGTACACCCGGTACACATGAATAATGGATCATCATATATAGTACACAGGCACTCAGCTACACTATTATTCTTGGCTGCTGCAACGGCCAAGTACATATGACACTTCACGCAGATATGCAAACTGTCTGGTTTTCGCTATGTTTCTCATCATGTAACAAACAGTATGTTTAATCTTTTCTGTTACTTTTGTGGTGTACAGTGTGGAGTGTGAATGGACTGGAGTAGGGCTAACCTTTGTCGTGGACTCTGGCTCCAACCCGAACTACCTGGCCCTGCTGGTGGAGTACGATGACAACGACAGTGACCTTGCGGCTGTCGACATCATGCCGATTGGTGCTGGTGCTTCGGGGTCATGGATTCCGATGCAGCAGTCATGGGGCGCAGTGTGGAGGCTCAACTCCGGCTCCGCCCTGCAGGGCCCGTTCTCCGTCCGCCTGACGTTCAGCTCCGGCCAGATGTTTGTTGCCAGCAACGCCATACCGGCAGGGTGGAACCCCGGCATGGCGTACCAGCCCGGCGGAGTGGCGATGAGGGTTAGGGGAAGAAATGGTGGTCGCCGGGGCTACGAGGCCGTCGGGATGCTGGGTGGCTTGTGTCACCTTCTACTGCTGCTGTTGTTAATGTTGTTCGAGTTGTGACTTGTGATGCACTAAAAACATGTGCTGAAACTTTGGTGCTTTCTGTAGGACTAGCCATGGTTGGATTAGCCTGGCCGTGCTCTCTTGTAGCTCAGATGATGTATTGCCCGCAGCCTTGGAGACATTATCAATTTGTCATGTGCTGGATTAATGGAATAAGTAGTATTCCACTGTTCTTACTTCTAGCTACTGTAGTTCAGGTTTGATAGTCTCTGTAAATATGTTCCTTGGAATTGTTGGGTTATTTTCAAGCTCTTTCCTTAAGTTTGAAGATGCGTTGTTGATCTTTCTTTCAAGAGCACCAAGTTGTCATTTTTTATGTTTGTGTAGTACTCTGGTCCTAAAACAAATGATGTTTAGGACAAGATTTGGTTAACTTTTTTAAAAAGACTTTGACTATCAAATTCGTATTAGAATATTTTGTTAAATTCAGTTAGCTTCTGATATTATTATAATGATTTTTTAGGCAAATTTGTGCATACCATTTTTTCCTTTTTAAACTAAGAAACTCGTAAACTGTTGATGGTTGTTTAAAAAATTTGATCAAATATTGTTCTAAATGTCATATATGTATTACTGGAGGGAGTAATTTGTTAGTAAAGAAAAGTATCATTAAAATGCTTTGGCGAAAAACATACTAGTACTTGTTTGAAGTGGTAAAAGTTTCTCTCTAGATTACTATTGGGTGAATAGCCAAAAATGTCCTCCAAGTTTCATACAAGGATCAGCTTAGTCCATAATCTATTGGGTGAATAGCCAAAGATGTCCTCCAAGTTTCATACAAGGATCGGCTTAGTCCTTAATGTTTCAATCTGTTCATATTACTTCTTCAAGTTTTTATTTTAATTCAAACTTATCCTTGAACCCACATAACCAACAATTCTCTTGATAAATGTCACTTATACCCCCTCATTCACATATATAAGAGAAAACAATTGCATACAATGAATTCTTTTTATAGACAATGCATAGCAATTTATGTAAAACAAAAATAAATTATATACTTACAAGTGTATACGATAGCCATTAGGCTCAAGTTTCATGTGCACATGTTGAAATAATGGGAAATACATATGTAATGTTGTTTATTTATTTTTGTTTTCTTTTTTCTAGTGTACAGTTGTATACAAATTAAAGGCAAAAGGGACACTTTCTAATAGAATTGTTGACTAAAAATAGCCATATGGCAAATCAAGTGGGTCCAAGGATGATTTTAAGCCAAAACAAATACTTAGATGACCTGTATGGACAAAATGAAACCTAAAGTACTAAATTGAGTCTTCAGTGAAGCTTGAGGAACTAAATTAGCTATTCACCCATTAATATTTGCAGTAATATTTGAAATAGTGTGGTTGCTGGTGACAAATATTTTGCCTTTTTCCCTTCACTAAACAGCTCTCTTGCCTGTCATTTCTCAGTTCTGCAAGATGAAACTCAAGACAAAAGACTGAAAAATTCAGCAACACTTTGTTGAAAGGGTAGTGCCACTTGGCCTAGGTGGATGAGGCCAAGGCCACAAGGTTTTAGCATCGATGAGACCGAGGCTGCCCATTGAGGTCCTCCCACACTGACCCAATTGGCCTGCACTCGGTCCATATATACACATTTTTAACAACTCAGATAAGAAACATAACCTTGCCTACTACTATAGCTGTTTGTTTTCATGCGGATATACCTGTTTTTCATCTAGTATATATAATCTTTTTGTTGCAGAATTGATACCGTCAGAGTTCTAATATGTGTTAAATAACTTTTATGGTAACTCTTAGAAGTATAAGTTGCAGCATGAAAAGATATTGAGTAAAATGCACCAGCGGTCCTTAAACTTGTCAGGAGGTTTCACTTAGGTCCACGAACTTGCAAAGCGCACATCGAGGTCCCTAAACTTGGTTTATTGTATCATCCCGGTCCAAAGCCGCGTTCGACCGTGGTCTTGTCTACGTGCATGCCACGTGGACAATGACATGATTTTTTTTCTCCCTTCTTCCTTCTTTTTTCTCTTTTATGAAAAGACGATGACATGGACGATGACGTGTACGAGGCATTTTCGTCTTTTCGACAAGGAAGAAAGAGAAAAAAAGAAGGAAGAAGGGAGAAAAAATTTTAAAAAATCCATGTCATCATCCATGTGGCGTGCCACGTAGGCAAGACCATTGTCAAACGCGGCTTTGGACCGGGATGATACAATAAACTAAGTTTAGAGACCTTGATGTGCGCTTTGAAAGTTTGTGGACCTAAGTGAAACCTCCTGATAAGTTTAAGGACCGCTGGTGCATTTTACTCAAACATATTTGTATGCAACTGGTAATGTCATGGTAATAGTTAATTGTGACCTCATGAGTCATGTGCCTAAACTTACCATTCGAGAGAGTCCAAATTCAAGTCAGAAACTGATACATGTTTGGAAGGGACGTCATTGTCCACCAATTTTTTGAGCACACGCTCGCGTCGAGTGGGTCGTACTCCCTTTGGCCTCGGAAAAACCAATGCAAATATCACCTAAGATAACGAATCTTGACAACCTTATATCCAGATTCGTTGAGGTGGTGTTACACCTCATCTAGGTTTTTTTTTATGGAAAAAGTATAAGTGTGTGTTGACGCTCGGTGTTTAAATGTTGTGGTGTTGTCTGGATAGTGTTTGTGCGCTTTCAAATGTACTCTCCATCCTAAAAAACAATCCTAATTATAAACCTGGTCCATGTATATAGCTAGGATTTATATATATTTTTTTACGGAGGGTGTACTCTTTAAGAAAGAAAAAACAATAACCATTTTTTCTCAACTCATCATTATATGGTTTTTTAGGTTTCATCATGGGAACACTGAATTTAGGCAAGCCGTAAGTGGGCAAGAGGGAGGAGGAGGTATCAATGTAACTCACCAGCGAAACGGTGGCAACTTTTTGACGGTGATGATGGGGAATAAGGTGTTTTCTCATGTTTAGAGGGATGTTCGTAGTCGATGGAAGACAATGGTAGGTAATGAGTTGGTGATAATACCGTTGGAATTATGGGGTTATAGGACGTCAGTGAACAGGGTCAGAGACGAGAACATAAAAGTCAGAGTGGTTACGAAGTTGGAGCAAAAGGGTGTTTCTAATGGTGGCCTAGCTTAGGAGGAGAAGAGACAAGGAGGGAGGAGGCCAATTCAAAGGGGCTCGTGTTGTACATCCAATCTAAAAATAATCTCATAATTAGACATATATATATGGACCGGGCGTTGGGTGACACTAATGGACGGGTGATCGCCCACAGCGATCATCCCCATCCCCCCACCAATACGCTCCTCTCCCTCTTCCTCCTCCCCTTCTTCTCTTCCTACTACACCACAAAAATTTTTTAAAAAATAAAAAATAATAAAGTTAGAAAAATTTATGTATAGAAATACTATATATAAAAATATTTAAATTTAAATTTAAATTTGAATCGGGTAAACTTTTGACTTATAAACTTTGGGTCTATAAACTTTAGATGTATAGAAATACTACATATAAAAAATATTTGAATTCAAATTTAAATTTGAATCGGATATATAAACTTTTAACTTATAAACTTTGGGTCTCTAATCTTTATGTGTATAAATTTTAGATTATGTGTATGAATTTTAGATGTGTAAACTTGAGGTGTATAAATTTACTAAAATAGAAAAGTAGCGTGGAGGAGGGGGTGATCACGCGGGGCGATTGATCGCTCGTTAGGATTTTCGCATGGACCGTGCTTAATCCAAGAGTCCTTACGTTATGTCCGTGTTCTTTTCGGTTTCTTCATCTGATTATTACTGCAGATGATAATCCACACTTCTAAAAATACATATATTTATTAAAAACAATCTTCTAATGCGATACTAAGATCACTTGCTTAAAACCATTTATTAAATTTATTTCTTGAAAATTTTATTTATCCATAATCAAGTATATAATATATGATATTTGACATGTATACTCACATATACGACTAATTATTTTTAATGGTAGGCGACATACCCATTAACAACAAGACGCATATGTTTACTCCGTTAATCTTATAATATATTCCCTCCGTCCCTAAATATTTAACGCCGTTGATTTTTTTAAACATGTTTGACTGTTCGTCTTATTAAAAAAATTTAAGTAATTATTAATTCTTTTCCTATAATTTGATTCATTGTTAAATATACTTTTATATATACATATAGTTTTACATATTTCATAAAAGTTTTTGAATAAGACAAATGGTTAAATATGTTTAAAAAAGTTAACGGCATCAAATATTTCGGGACGGATGGATGGAGTATAAAAGTCCAGTATCTCATAGTGTTTGAATGTGCGTACGTGCATATGAGCAAACAATCCATTTTCAAGATTCTCACACAGTGGATCAAAATCCAGCGGCCGAGATCAAAACCAAAATCCACCCCCCATCATGTCCATAGACCCGGTCCACAGCCCATCGTCTCCCTCTCCATTTCTCGTCCTCTCCTCTCTTACCTCACCTCGTTCTCTCCGCCACCGCCGCCGCCGCCTCCATTCCTCCACCGCCGCCACCCCAAGACTTCCCCCCACCTTTATATAGCGGACCACCAACCCATCGCCTGCGCGTCCTCCCGAGAAAGAGAGAGAGAGAGAGAGAGATCCCGACCTCAACAATGGCGGCCGCTTCCTCCCTCCACGCCGCCCCGCGGGTGGGATCCTCCTCCTCCTTCTCCTCCTCCTCCTCCGCTGGCCGCAGATCAGCCTCCGGTAAGCGAGGTTTCCTCCCCTGCTCGTCGGATCTCCGCTGGTTCCGTGGGATTATTGTGTATTCATGTGGTGTTTGTTTTGCTCTTGCAGCGGCGAGGAGCGTGCGCGTGGCGGCGGCGGCCGGATCGTGCGCGGCGCGGCGGGCGGGGGGAAGGATGGTGGCGCGGGCCGCCGTTGCAGTTGCGTGAGACGTTCTGCTCTCTGAGCTGATATACTTCCGTTCGCTACGATGCTCTGCTGGGCTCTGATGGTTTCACTGAACTGCTCTATGTTGTGTTTGTTTGTGTTTCTTCTCGCGTGCAGTCCAAGGCGGAATCGCCGGCGAGCGCGGCCTCCTCCAAGTCTGACGGGTAAAGAATTCAGCACCCCTCTAATTTTATAATTGTGTAGTACAGAATCCATACGGTAACCAAGCGTTCAATTATTTCTTCTGTTCATAAGACCGATCGATTCAGCTCAATCTGGGTTTGATTTGGCTGGATTGTGTTGGTCTTAGTCTATTGTGTGTTGGGGCTATACTCCAGTTTTGGAGCTTGGATCTGTTTAGGGGTTGGGCTCTTGTTATTCTGCTCGTTAGGTGATGCAATTTTGCAGCCTTCCGTTCGTTGAAAGTTGATACAGGGGGCTAGTTGAATGTTACTAAGCTTGTATGAAGAATTGAAGTTAGAGAACTTATGACTAGAAACAGTTCATGAAGAAATTGTTTGAAGCATCCGAGAAACTAGGAGTATTTTATAGCGGTCTTTAGATTTATGAGGTCTATTACCAGTAGTAGGATAGATATGGCCCATTATTATTATTATATAAGAAAAGATGAAAGGTCTAGATTGATTTTACTACCAGTAGAGACCACTGTAAAGTGAATTTCAATCAACAAAGTAGAACATTCAACTGACTTGCCCATCAGCTTTCAGCTATGGCTTCTGCTGCTGGCTGGCATTCACAATTTGACATATATTTTCTTGGATATGAGTAGGGAATGACTTTGGAAGCATCAATTTAGGCCTTGATTGAAACACTGATGGGACTTGCATACTGCCTTATACTCCTACCTGCACTGTAGACATGTCCAATGTTTGGTGTATTGCAAAAAAGAAATTAGGAATTTAGTTTTTTTCCCCTTTGGCTATTACTAATCTATATAATGGACATAGGGCTGGAAAGCACAGAATTTATAACGTCTAGCCATTCAAATTTGACATTGAGCTCAGTGGAATATGCTCCTCACCGGGTGACACAAACTGTTCTGTTACTCCCTCCAGTCATTTAGTTCTCCCAACGTCAGACACATTAAAGTAGAGAGATTAGTTTCCAACCCAATTGGCCACTTACCATGCTATTATATAGGCTGCATATACTCATAAAAAATTGCTTCAGGCTGTCAAGCTTAGTTGGTTTACATTTACTTTGTAATGTTGACTGTAGGATTATCGGTACCTGTAACGAATCGGTTAACACTGGTATTCAGAATTCAGTATTTGCCCTGGTTCATTACAATGCTTATATGTGTTGTGCACTTGTGCTAGTTTAGGTGTTACATTTCTGATTTTTTTTATCTTATCCAAATAAATAACATTTCAGTGCATAGAATATGTAATCTAAGGCAAATTCCTAATTCTGTAACTTTTATTCAGTCATGAGGTCTTACTGTTTGAGGCTCTTCGCGAGGCCTTGATAGAAGAGATGAAAGAAGATCCAACGGTATGTGTCTTTGGTGAAGATGTCGGTCACTATGGAGGTTCTTACAAGGTGACCAAAGGTCTGGCTGAGATGTTTGGAGACCTACGAGTCCTTGATACCCCTATTGCTGAGAACTCATTCACCGGCATGGGAGTTGGAGCAGCGATGAAGGGGTTGAGGCCTGTTGTTGAAGGAATGAACATGGGTTTCCTTCTCCTTGCTTACAACCAAATCTCAAACAACTGCGGAATGCTTCACTACACCTCTGGTGGCCAGTTCAAAATCCCAATCGTGATCCGAGGTCCTGGTGGAGTTGGTCGCCAGCTTGGTGCTGAGCACTCCCAGCGTCTGGAGTCTTACTTTCAGTCGATCCCCGGCCTCCAGATGGTTGCTTGCTCTACCCCTTACAACGCCAAGGGTCTGATGAAAGCCGCCATAAGGAGCGAGAACCCCGTGGTGCTATTCGAGCACGTCCTTCTGTACAACCTGAAGGAGAAAATTCCCGACGAGGAATATGTTCTATGCCTGGAGGAGGCTGAGATGGTGCGTCCCGGAGAACATGTTACCATCCTCACATACTCGCGGATGAGGTACCATGTGATGCAGGCTGCGAAGACCCTGGTGAACAAAGGGTATGATCCCGAGGTCATCGACATCAGGTCGTTGAAGCCATTTGACCTGCACACCATAGGCAACTCTATCAAGAAGACCCACCGCGTGCTGATTGTGGAGGAGTGCATGCGCACGGGCGGGATCGGCGCCAGCTTGAGATCGGCCATCATCGACAACTTCTGGGACTACCTTGACGCACCCATCATGTGCTTGTCGTCGCAGGATGTGCCGACGCCGTATGCTGCGCCTCTGGAGGATGCCACCGTCGTGCAGCCTGCCCAGATTGTGGCTGCCGTTGAGCAAATATGCCAGTAATCTAGACAACCGTTTATACATTGTTCTTTGCGTGGAAAGTTTTTGTTCATCGTTTTGCCCATGTAGCGAGGTATCCATTGTGGTATAGGCTTATTTATAGCCATTTTTATTCGTATTCTGAGTTGTACTTTAGCTGCGAGGACATGCTCCACAGGATATATTCGTGCACTGTATCATGCTGAATTCTAGGATTTAAACATGTTTTTACTGCAAGAAGATTTTATAATGTTCGATTATCATGATTCAGTCGTTCCGAAGTTCAGTGAACGTACGAAGTCGGTCACTCCAGGCCGAGAGTGACTGAATGTATGATTTCATAATAAAAACTCTGAACTTGTCACCATAATTCCATGCAGCTTGAAAATCGGTATGTATCTAACTATCCCCAAGTTGCAAAATATTACTAGTAAATTATAGGCATCGCGAAGTGCTCAGGCAACGTATGAGATTTCCGCAACCTATCCCTATCCCGATACCTCATGCGTAATCGCGAAGTCCCCCCAATCTACATGATGTATTGGACAGGTGAATACTGTTACAAATATAGCTTCGAATTCATCTCAGGTCCCAGTTACTATCACGCGCATGACCAGAGGAGGCTCAGGAAGACATAGGTACGAGCATAGTTGCATCACAACGTTTGATGACTACCACCAACATAACCCCTCTAGAGGTGCCAGAGTGCAATCTTCATAGACGGAGCCATGGTGATATCAAAATTGGACCATCTTGTGGCAAACAAATTGATAAGCTCAAAAGAAAAAAGGTTTGGCGGCTGAGAGCTCTCAAACAGAAGTACATGTTTCACGCATCCCGCACTTTGGGCAGCAAGCCAACAACAGTTACCAAAATTGTTGTCATAATGCAGTACATCTATATCCACAGCTGTTCTTTGCGATACTCTCTCACAATGACAGGTACACTTGTGGGTGGAAGCTGGAACAAAGCAAAACAACCCCATCAGCAATTCAATGAACCGGATAAGAGAGCCATCATCTTAAATATTTATAACGAAAATGTCTACTTGGGCCCTTAAAGTAAACCAGGTATGTACCACCACAAATATCAACAGGTAATCTATCTCCAAACTATCAAAGGTAAGTGGCTTTGAAAGAGGTTTTGTCCAGATGGGCTATGACAAGTGCAATGACATGACAATGTATTCGGTCAAATATATTTTTAACTACTAGTAGGATAGCTTGGCGATGTATTCAGTTAAATAATGTTTTGACTAGTAGGCAGCTCGTAGAAGCACAATAGTGGTGACATGTTCCCTGGCTCAACAATTGGAGAAAGAAAGGGAGCGGCTGGGCCTGTTTGGGAGAAATGGATTCATGTATCTGCCAGGCAGACAATACATGGGAGAAGCCGAGCCTGTTTGGCTGAAATTGGTTCAGCAGACACCACCACCTGCTACATCTTCGTTTACATCTCACAACTACTTACAAAACTACCCTAAGGAGTTATTTAAACCGGCTTTTGTTCTTTAGGTGGTAAGAGTACTGAATTCAAGCCTACAAGGGTTAAATAGACCAACCATAATACTTCCAAGGGATTGAATAAAATTTTTCCTGTTCATAAAAATCTAAAAAAGTTGGCATAAAAAAGACATTTGTCTAACTGTAGAAGAGAATATATTACTCCCTCCGTTTCACAATGTAAGACTTTCTAGCATTGCCCATATACAAATATATGTTAATGAATCTAAACTCATGCATATGTCTAGATTCATTAACATCTAAATGAATGTAGGCAATGCTAGAAAGTCTTACATTGTGAAACGGAGGAAGTAGTTCAGTACATGCAATCGGCATCAATTAATGTTTTCTGCAAGATTTAATTTTGAGGAAAAAAGTATACAAGTGCAACTTAAAAGATGAAAAAAATGTTTGTTGCTAAAAAACATCCATAGAAAAGGCTTGCTAACACCTATAATTCAACAGCCAGATGCTTATGTGAGGAAAACTAAGCAAAAGGACATCTTATATGAATATCTTCAAATAGGACAAGTAAATGACTGCAATTAGAGGTGAAAGGTATTTTACCATTCCATAATCTGTTATGATCATCGACACATAGTCAGAAGGGGTGGCATCATACCTATCAATGTGCAAAATTATCTCAATCAAAGGGAACATTGACAGAACTAAGAAAACAAGTCACCTATGGAATTCAAGGACATATTATCTTAAAAAAAATGGAATTCAAGGACATACGTAAGATTTAACAGTTGGAGATTTTCATTGTCTGCCAAGTTCTTAAGATGGCCCAAATCTGCCTTCCCAGGAACTTTCAAAATGACATCTGGATCACCTGGGTAAAAGACTCGTGTTATGATTCTTATGCATGGTAAAAAAAAATAGTTACAAAGCATAAATTCAAAAGATATATACATACCAAGCTCATTAGCACATATAGAATCAAGTTGCACCCTCTCATGAAATTTGTATGCCTCACAGCACACAAGAACAGGAATTCCAAATGCATGTGCAACCATTGCCACAGATGCTGTCCCGACTCTAGAATAAACTGTTCCATTTGATAGTATTGAGGAGGCACCCAAGAAAACTCTTGTAACTTCATGCATGATGTATGAGATGGCATTAATATGTGTATACGTGCAGTTGATGCCCTTTTCCACTAATCTACGTAGTAATCCTTGTCCCTCAAGCTTGGGACGAGAATCTACCACTATAACACGGAACTTCCTCCCAAGTTCATGAGCATGATCCAGAATCATTTCAACAACTGACGATGACCCATATGTCAGCAAGACATCATTGTCTCTGACTTTTGTGATAGCATGACTGACAATAACCTTATCTGCCACAACTATTTTTTCATTAATGAATCGATCAATATCAGATTGAAGACTGGCTTTGGCTTCTGATTCTGACAATGTGAGTGGTAGCTTGGCAATCCTGTTCTTTAAAAACCTAATAGCATTGCCCATGCTAATTGACAGAGGCCTGCACTCAATAAGAAACGACACATAACTGCTGATTTTCGCTGTAAGATCTCTACTCAGAGTTTTTTTGGGAGGTGTAGAGTAATCTTTTATTGCCACTTGGAATGCAAGAAGCATTGCTATACAACGACCATTTCCACCAGAAACCTCACCAGACAAATATTGGAGCCCAACCTGAAACATAGTGAATACCTGTTGAGTTATTCATATTCAACCAAAATTGATGATAATCAATTTATCCAATTCAAATTAGCTAACCCATTTACTTCTTTGAACAACGAAACAAAAGAAATTTGAGATTGCAGGATTGCTAACTAGTTTTGGCTGGCTGGCTTGCTTGTTGGTATTTAACAAGACCAGTAATGCAGTATAACATTCAGTGAGGAAATGCTCCAAATAATGGTAAAAAGATCACGATGGAAGTTTGTAATGCATTAAAAAATAATAGAACACTATCTGGTACAAAAAATAAAAGAGAGGTTTAATAGTTTTGGTTTATGTTTATGGTAAATGAAATGTTGCAACATTAATTGTGTACACCTTCACTTTACACCTCTAAATGCAAGAAGATTTTCTGTGGGACGAGAAGCGAGTCATCAAATAATCCAACCTAGTAACTTGGGAGCTTGGAACATGAGCTTTTAAATGGCATACAGATAACATTTATGAGTAGTTTGAATGCATATCAAGTACCTTGTACACAGAAGGATGCATTGGTTCAAGTTGAAAAAACTTTGATTCAAGGCCAGGAAGTTGAGTGCCATGCACATACTGAGGCAAGTGCCTAAACAATTCAACTCTGTTTCTTGCTTCAGATTGATTTACAATTGCACGTTTTTTTGCTTTCTCCACCCGGTGCACATCATCAAACTGCATACGAGGGTGAGGCGCATCTTTCTTCCTATCTCTTTCTGAAGGACGTTCAGTAACCTTCTTCTCAGAAGCAGCAGTAGATGCAGCTTGGGGCACATCTTTCTTCTGAGAAACTTTTGATGATTTGGCTTGCTTGGGCATTGCAGGATTAGCCCCTGAACCAGTGCCTGCAGACTTTCCTGATAACCCTACAGGTCCAAACTAATGTTATAATTATGCTGCAGCACACCCCACAAGGGAGTGGAAGGGGATGAGAAGATGAGAACAAGGATATTACCTGCCTCCTTGGCAGCAGCTTTAGCAGCACGCTGAGCTTCCTGAATAGCACGCCTCTCTGCTTTAGAAGTTTTCTGCTTTTGTGGAATTGAAGCTGGAACATTGTCATTCCGTATTTCAGCCAAATCGTTATTGTTTGATTCTGAAACAAATAAAACAAAGTTAAGTGCATATTATGTATTGAAAAACAAATTTTCCCCAAGAATTTTAATAAATGTCGAGGAAAATAAACATATAAAGAAGAATGACAGTATGGATAATTGGTTCTCAGATGTGGCTCAAGATTTATAAAAACTTTGAAACATCAAACTAACACTCCCTTCTTCAAATATTTTCAATGCACTTATACAAATCTAGGAGCACTTTGGATGGATTAGATAGTGCATGAAAATCGATATGCAGAGTTACATGAAATCAACAGTCCATAGCTGTCAAGTTGGTATTTATTATACCAATTTCAATTGAATAAAACCAAACATAGCAGCTAGAAAAGCCAGCTACCTAACACATCATCAAACAAAACAGAGAAATGATCTTAGATAAGTAGATTTGTCTGTAACTACCGGTGGTCAAGGCCAGAGGCTTTTTTCTTCTTTTTTTTTTTGAGAGGGAAAAGGGAAGAAACTTCAGGAGAGGGAGACAGAATAGATCAACTTCTTGCTTCAATGTTAACTGGTACTAGTATAAAATAGAGCTTAGTGAAATAGAAGGGTATAGAAAGGTACAGAAAAGTAAAACGAAGCTACCCTGCTTATTATCCCTTAAAAACACAATATATCACAGAAACAGTTCCTTTGCCGCATTAGAGTTTGATATAATGAAATACTAAAAAGCTTGGATTCATCTTTCCAGTAGTGGATTACCATGACGCTTCGAGTTCAGGTGGGCTGGCTTTACAACCTTCCGTTGTAAGGCCAAAAATAGTACTGTGATGTCAAGTGAGTCGAATTCGAATACTATGTGTTCATATAAAATTTCATTATTGAGCATAAACTTCATGTTACGGTTTACGCAGATGCAGCACACACATCCTCTACATAACCAGAGGTATAAACTCCGTTCCTATGCTTCACCGTATGAAATTCTCGTCAAAAATTTTCAGTTCGTGACAGTACCATCATACATAGCAACGTCCGCCGCCTCAATTCGCAGAAAGCGCTTTCGAAATTGCTGCAACCGGATAAAGGCTCAAGAGCGCGTACCGAGCTCGGCGGCAGAAGGCGCCCGCGACCAGGACTCGTCGTCGCCCAGCTCGGAGGGGGACGCCGCGGGGGAGGGCGAGCCTGGGGCGAGGTGGTCGGCGTGGCGCGGGGGCGGGATCATGACGGGGGAGAGCGAGCCCGGGGAGAGCTCGGACGCCGGGGGGGACCCCTCGGAGGACGCCTGCGCCTGCGCCGCCGCGGCCGCCGCCGAGGAGGCGGCAGCAGCAGCCGCCGCGACCGCTGCAGCGGCGGCGGCGGGGGGCTCGGCGGGCGGGGCCGAGGAGGAGGCGTCGGGGGTGACGAACCCCACCTGCCGGATCTTGGGCTCCACGCCCCCCGACGACGAGCGCGGCGGCCGGCGGAGATCCATCGCCCGGCGGCGCCAGCGGCGGCCGGGGCGGGGAGCTTTGAGCTAGGGCAGGGCGGGTGAGGTGAGGTCGCCGCGAGGGTTTGCGGGGCTTTGGACACGGGAGGGGGAGAGAGAGAGAGAGAGAGAGGGGAGCGCGACGGCGGGGGTGGGGGATCGGCTCGGGATGGGTGGTGGTCGGTGACGTGTGCGTGCGTGGGGAAGGGAGTGTTGGGCCTCGGGAGAAGGCCCATTTATCTTTCAGGACCTAAGTAGATATGGTCCAACGAGATCAGCCCCATGTTGTATTGGATGGCTGGCCTAATAAGTCTATTATACTTCCCTTATCTCTTACCCTCGATCAAATCGTGTCCCTCAACCGCATAACGGGGTATAATGTCTTCCTCCAACTTTGAAAACCGATGCCAATATACTTCTTCGGTAGTTAGGGTAGTGATTTTTTTTTATGATGTGGTAGATTGACTACAGTCAGACTCGTTGAGTCAGGGCATAACCCCAAATTGTAAGTGAAATGTGGCAAAACATATCTAGTGACCATGTTACATTCCTTTTCTTCTTCTCCCATCTCTTTCTCTCTCCTCGGGCAATCGTAGAGGCAAGATAGGCCGGAGGACGCAAATGCCACTAGGGGCGCGCCCAGCATTGGCAAAGCAGTGTGTGGATGTTGTCCATCTCAAGCGTGCCTGTGTAAACCCAGTGGTCGACGGGGAAGGAGCCGGAGGTCGGGGCTGAGCCCAGAAGGCAAATCCAGTCAGTCAAGCGGACAAACTCAAGGTGACGAGCCTCCCAAGGGTTGAGCTCCCCTATCCGTGAGTCCATCGACGCATCAAGAATACGAGAACCACGATGATGAGCTCGTTGGCGGCAGATGCGCAGGAGGACGGGACCGAGGCCCGGTCGACCTCGTCGAGCCCCTCGTCGCAGAGGATGCGGACGAGCCAGAATGTTGTCCCCGCAGCCTCCCCAAGATTACATGTCCTCTCGCGCCACTATGGCCTCATCGAGCTCCCGCTCGCGCCGTGGCCCCCCGCCTCACCTACTAGATCGGGTGGGTGGCCCCCGTTTACGCTCAAGGAGATGGAAATGACGCCAGATCCTGCCATCGACGCCTTCAACGTGCGCGTGAGCTAGCTGCCTTAACCTTGCTGCTCATGTGCGCCACTGCACTCCACCTCAATCCTCGATGGTAAGCGGCAGGGGAGCTATGGGTCCCTCGTCCACAGTCTCCCCTCTCTCAAGCGGTGGCCGCAACAACCTAGTGGTCGGCGAGCTTGAGGTGGCACAGACGGGTGCATGGGCTGCATGGAGCAATGTGTCATCTCCTCTCTCCCGAGCAGCGGCAGCAGCGTCACCAAGCTCGACGATGCTACAATGGATGTGGATCTTGAGTTCAAGGTCACGAGAGCAGCTGAGAGCTACTCCAAATATGGTTGCTGCCGTCTGGGCCGCTTGATAAAGAGGATAAGTCGTTGCTGCCTTACTCCTCACCTGCCTGACGCTGCCCCTCTCCAGTTAGCTGCTAGCATAGAGATCATGAGGAAGAAAGAGGAGAGGTGGAAAGATGGAGAAGAGAGGAGGTTGGAAGAAGAAGATATAGTCTTTGACATGTGTTTTCCAGGTGGGTCTCACTTCATTTTTCTGACTTGAAGTGCCACAAAGATGTTATGCGAGATGAAGATCTAGCCAATATGCCGAGTGGACGTCACTTAAGCCATAACCGGGCTCAATACTACCTTAGAGACTGTATTTGCACCGGTTTTTGAAGTTAGGGAAACTTATACCTCGTGGTTGATGAATGTGATTGGATCGAGGGCAAGATTGGAGGGACGTAAATAGACTTTTCTTTTAGGACCACCTATACATTTGGCGACAAATTTTCTCCTAAAAATTTGACAGATGTAATTATAGTACAATCGTAGTGTAATTACACTGTAACTTATATGTAATTACACTGTAACTTGCATGTAACTACAGTGTAACTTGTATATAAGTTTCACGTAATTTTGAATCGTTAAATCTATTACAAGATTTGTTTTGGTGAGGAAGAAAAAAAATCACAGCACACACATATGTGTAAGGATTTGTTCCCACAACCTCTATTTTACCGAAATAAGACATATTACAGAGAGATTTTTGAAAGTTACATACAAGTTACACTATAGTTACAGTGTAATTACATGCAAGTTACAGTGTAATTATACTACGATTATACTGTAATTACATCTGTCAAATTTTTGGGAGAAAATTTGTCGACAAATATATAGAAAAATCGTTTCTTTTTGGTATTAGGACAAATAGAATATATGGGCCCAGTGAACTCAGGCCCACTTTTGTATTGGGTCCATCTAGATTAGGCCCATTTTAATTATTTTATGCTGGACAGGATGGGCCTCCGGTGAACGTCTCTGTCCTGTAGAGGCAGACATGGATGATGGATGAATGTGCCCATACGTACATAACATAGATCAGCTGGCCATTACTTGTGGATTGGATAATCTTAGCTAGCTATATAGCGCTCGAATCTCGATGAAGATATGTAGGCAAGGAATAGTTAAGGATGTATGTCGATCATTCATCCACGCACGATCGCACTCTTGAATGGTCGATCGGGTGTCAAGATATGCAGTATAGCCATATATGCAGATATGCATGCACAGTATGCAGCACGTCACATGCCACTGTTCGTACATATCTAATATCTTCACACGCACGGAGTACCTTTGAACTTTCTTTGAACTTAACTGCCGACGAACTGAGAATAATTAACTAATTAATTACCCGATTCATGTGAAACTCCTGCGTACGTTCTTAATTAAGAAAAGCCTAGTAAAATTAACCATATATTCGATCGACAGTTTGACACACACGGTTATTTTGGTTAATTAATTACCGCTGAGAGATTGTGAGACGTGCGTACGCGTGATGCTGCGCTTAGCTAATTGGTCGGTCGGTTAATGGTTTCTCTCGCGTGCAGTACGTGCGTCAGTGCGTGCCCTTGTCACCGGCCACGCCGCGCCTGCATGAATTGAAGCTCTCCCATGCCGAGAACTACCCCATCGGCTCCATGCTGCAATTGCATCGATCCTTTCTTTGTCCATCATATCCTATGTTGTTTGGGCCTCACACTATATATATATATATATATATATATATATACAGTGTCCCGGCTGACTCGGAGCAGTCTCTTTCTGAGCTTTTGGAAGAACATATAGCGTCCCGGAGATATTTCTCCACTGTCCCCGTCATCGCTACTTGATACTCTTTTTTTTTCATATTATAAGTTTCTATAACTTTTTTGTCAAATTTTTTTAAGTTTTATTAAGTTTATAAAACATAACATTATTTTCAACAAAAAAATATATCATTGATATATATTTAATGTTATATTTAACAAAATTAATTTTGCATCATAGATGTTGCTAAAATTTTGTAAAATATGTTTTTTTTAAAAAAAATAAAGCGACTTGCAATATGAATTAGAGGGAGTACAATTAATGTGTATATAGAATTTGCATATAGATACAGTGGTAGCTTGCTTTTTTTTAATTTCACATGATTTATTTAGGTGCTTATGGCGATATATATACACTATATGTCCTCTATCTAAAAATCATGTTTTTTTTCCAACAAATTAGTCCCTATCAGATTCCAGGTACATGTTTTTTGTCAAGCAACAGTGCAAATATTTGTCGACTGTTTTCGCCCATCAGATAGGCAAAGCAGAACATCTGGTCTAACAACATATATATCACTACTATAAAAGATATCATGAATATTAGCGCATCACTATCAATTTAGTTAGTGACGGAGCTCTAGCGACACTGTTGACCCTAAGCGGCTAAGGCCATTCCCAACCCATGACACTAGACATAATTTCCATAAACTCCACATCATCAAGAAACTAGTACTAGACACTACTCTTCCAATACAAACACTATTCCATACTTCAATTTAATGCTATTTATCTCACATGATGTCTTGGATGTTGTGTAGAAACCATGTCTCATGCAAGACATGGTTTCCTTCTCTTTTCTCATTTATTCACTTGCCACATCATTTTTCATCCTAGGTGGCAACTTATTTAATGCTGTGGACACCATCCTAGTCATTGGGTTGGGAATGGCCTAATGATTTCTCGGTGATCTACCGAATTTTTTTATATGTCAACGCTAATCTATAGTAAAGGTGGGGTAGTGGCGGAGCTCAAATGGTCGTTCGACCTGTCCGAGAGCTACCCCGCCACTAAATCTAGCGTGAACCGACACTAATAGAGGGTCTAAATGTGATGAGGTTCACCTTGGTTTCATTGCCGGTTCATTGTGGCTGGGCCATACGTGGAGTATACTTATTACTAGTATACTCCTTGCCACGTGCCATTACATTCATTTCCATTCTCTTTTGCGTGTTTTATCTATATTTTTGTTTGCATATGTATTTCTTTTTAAATCATATATCGTATATTTTTTCTAGCCCTCCGTTTTTTTAATATTGCCTATTAAATTAAGTTAATAGTCAAAGGAATGCAGCTGCGTGGAATCACATTAGCCTTTTGTATAGCGAGTGGACTCTAACTCATTGCTTTGCTTTTAACAAGCCACATAAACTGGAAGAAGCTATAAGCAAGGTTAAATTCTCGATCGAGCATCGTTGTCGGGCATGTAGGCATGTGTGTGCACGTCAGCATGCAGCAATATGCAGCTAGCTCGTACACACTCTCCCCATCGCCCATTTATTCCCCAGTGTCCTCATGCTAAGCAAGAGGCCAAATGTATATGCACAGTAGTGCAGTACTACGCCGCGGTTGCTATAGCTGATCTATGCTAGATGGTGGCCGCCCCGTCCGCCTCCGGTACACCAACTTGCATGTACGCATGCTCGCAACAGGCTGCAACTTGCAAGCAGCAGCAGCAGCAGCTGAGCTCGACTGCTAGCTGCTAGCTTTGCTGGCTTTATACTACATGAATGCCCATCTCGCTTTGTCAGCAGGAGCGGTCAATCAAATCCATCAAATTATGCGGCATCATCACCTGCTATGACGTACTCCGGCCGGCTGATTGATCGTCAATAATGCACTGTTTGATCGATGTCTGTCACTTCTCACACTGCTACGGGAAACGGACATTGGTAACGGGTCAT